CACTAAGCCAAACACATCTTCGTTACCTTTTACAGCCACATCTGGTTTAAATTCTTCTTTTCTCAGCACACAAAATCACAAGGGCCCACTGTGACCCTCAGCTATGCAAAAAATGTAATATAAACAATGTGGCTGCCTGTTGCCAGAAACTTGCACACTCTGACCTAGAGAATATTTCTGCTCTTTTTATAAACTCTCCCAACCACCTACTGGGGTCTAGTTTCCTTTTTATGCAGCCTTGCCAGTGGGATTTTTCAAAACAGATTATTCCAAGCCGTAAATCTGTCCCAGTATACAAATTCTAGTGACAGCAATTGTTATTATTTATTTCAATTAAAAAAAAATAGTTGTGGAAATGTGAATTTAAGTGTAATGGCTACACAGGTAGTCCTCAACTTATGGCCACAATTGAGGCCAAAATTTAGGGCTGCTAAGTGAGACATTTGTTAAGCGAACGTTGCCCCATTTTACGACTTTTCTTGCCACCGTTGTTAAGTGAATCACTGCAAGTTGTTCAGTTGGTAACATGGTTGTTAAGTGAATCTGGTTGGTTTCTCTGGTTTGCTTGCCAGAAGGTCGCAAAAGGGGATCACGTGACCCTGGGACCCTGCAACCGTCATAAATATGAGTCAGTTGCCAAGTGTCTGAATTTTGACCATGGGGATGCCGCAATGGTCGCAAGTGTGAAAAATGGTTGTAAGTCACTTTTTCCAGTGCCGTTGCAACTTCAAATAGTCGTTAGACCAGGGGTCAGCAACCTGCAGCTCCGGAGCTACATGCGGCTCTTTGGGCCCTCTGCTGTGGCTCCCTGTCAGGTGATCCCACCACTGGCTGGCCCTGCCCCTCACCCTCCCCTCCCAATCATTCCTCGCCTGGCCTGAGAAGGTAAGGGCGACAGTGGGGGATGGAGAAGCAGCCAGGGCAGAGACAGAGAGATACAGAGAGAGGGAGAGGGAGAGAAGGAGGGGAGAGAGAGGTATGTCAAAAGGATTTTGTGGTTCCTGGTGTTTTTTAACAACTGGTTCTCTGCCCTAATGACCGGCTGGGTAGGCATGGCTAGGGGGTCATGTGACTGGTGGAAGTAAGTGACATCAACTTGGCCACGCCCACTCAGGTTTTGTGGCTCCCGGTGTTTTCTTTTCTGTGGAAAATGGGTCTCAATGGCTCTTTGAGTATTTAAGGCTGCAGACCCCTACACCAGACTAACTGTTGTTAAGTCAAGGACTATCTGTATTCCTTCCCCCCACCCCCGCCTCTTCCTATAAAAGATGGACAAAACTCAAGAGATCTTTTTACGGTACAAACTTTGGAGTTTGCAAACTGATTTAGGCTGAACAATCCCCCTTTTCCTACTGTCAAATCCACAATGTTGGCTGAAAGGAAAATAGATCATGCGTGAGCCTATATTACAGCTAAACACTGCATTATAAATGGCCAAAGAAACCAGATAAGGCCAGACTTCGTCTTAAACAGAGATCTATTTTTCCACAATCTGAAAGGAGCCACAGTAAAGTCATTTTGCTCATGTATAACATCTGTTCTACAGGCATGCACATTTTTTAAAAAAAAAGTAAGCAGGAAAAGTCAATCAAATCTTTTTTTTTCCTCCCTCCTTCCTCCGGAGGATGTAGTAAGATTACCTTCATATGTTTAGAATTTACTTTCACCGACATCTCTATATGCATTATAGACATAACAAGACGTTCATTTTTCTCTCTTTTTTAGTAAGAATCTTCATATTAGGCTCACTGGTAGGTCACAAGAGATCAAGCCCACATTTTTCTCAAGAGTTACTAATTTATAATCAGTATTATTAAATAATTAATAGTATCAAATAATAATTAGTAATTTACTGATAGTAAATTGTTACCAATTTATTATTAGTAAATTTCAAAAGGCGTTAAAAAAAAGGGGAGAGGAAGAGAAGTGAAAGGAGGTGAAGCTGTCTTTGGAAACAAACAAACACCCTCTAATTTTATTTATTTGTATCCCACTTTTATTATGTTTACAAATAACCCAAGCAGTGAGCATAAACAACACATTTTCTTCTTCCTATTTTCCCCTCAGCAACAACCATGTGAGGTGGGTTAGGCTGAGAGAGGGATTGGTTCAAATTCACCCAACTGGCTTTCACGTCTAAGGCGGGACTAGAACTCTCAGTATCCTGTTGATTGGCCAAAAGTCATTCAGCTGGCTTTCACGCCTAAGGCGGGACTAGAACTTTCAGTATCCTGTTGATTGGCCCAAAGTCACCCAACTCGCTTTCATAGCTAAGGTGGGACTTGAACTCAGGATTTCCTGCTTTTTAGCCTGGTGCCTTATCCAGTAGATCAAAATGGCTCTCTTTCAATCTCTGTTTAACAATTTCACCAATAATGCTAATTAACATCTATAATGCCACCTTATTCTTTGGTGCGTCAATAGCCTTCACAAAACTACAGAAACTAGATCTGGTTTTGCAATAACGAATTAACATGAACATGCATTAACATTTTGATTTTTTTTGTGTGCGCACACATATCCACCACAACTGTGGAATCCACCAGATGAACCTTTTCACCACCTAGGAAATTTTCTGAAAAATATAGAAATCAGCTAAATGAACTGAGTCATTAACTTCATATTCTGGTCTTCATTTTCCTGAGTGCCACACACAGAGAAGAACACACAACTGAAATGCAATTCCAACTGGGGGGTGTTTTACAATTCCTTCTCTAGGGCTGATCTTACAGTCCCCTCCTCCCAAAATACAGATCTGCTCGAGTCACAGAGCACACCAGAACTCTTTGGCTAAATGTTGCATGAAATTTGGGAGGGGCGGTGATAGAAAGAGATTAAATTAATCTTGTGGGTCTATAATACTGACTTACATCACTGCTTTTAGCACAGAGGGCGTCTGAAACCCTTCTAAGAATTCAGTCTTGAAAGGCAGACCTCCAACGCTACGGTGTTACATTTTGCCTTTATTCAAAAATACGATAAGAGGCCATCAAAATCACAATATATTCATTTCTGTATACATTCTCCCAACAACTTTCTGGAGTTGTTTGGAAGAAAGGTTTTTACCATTTCCCTATAAAGTAATGCTTCGAAACCCGCAGATGGACCGTCTGTTTCTCATCTGTTCTTGCACCAGATTTTGCCCTTGTAGTATCAACTGTGCTGAATCCCCAGAGAGTTTTCCACTTCCTTGTATAAATACCAAGGAGATGAAATCAGTCCAGAAATATAAGGGTTGAGAGAAAGCCTATAAGTTTGGCGACTAGGTCAGAATCCGCGAAAAGAAATCCATCTGCCCTGTTCAATTAGGATTATGAATTTATCAGAGCGGCCCACATTTTTTAGACTTACAAAAACTTTCATCCGTATTGTTCCCGTAGGACAGATGGGAGACATAAAGGATGGGAGAAACTGAACTGCCAAACCCCCCCCCCCAAAAAAACCGGCAGGATAGCGGGAGGAGAGAATTAGGCTAGGGATTTCTGGCTTGACAGCCCACTTAATTCATCTTTGGGAATTTAAAACTGCGCTTGCACTTAATTTCTCCCCAAAAGAAGAGCTATGAGAAAAAAGAAGGGAATAGGGAGAAGGGGTGTGTGGGTGGGAAGGAAAAGGAGGAGGTTGGCGGGAAAAGATTGCAGATGAAGGCTGCACTGGGAAAAGTCGTCGGGATAGGAGACGGGCGGCAAATAAATTTCCTAAATAAATACATTTTGAAAGGTTCTCCTCCCACGGACCTTTAGGGCAGCAAGTGGTGGGGGTGGGGGAGAGAAAGGAAGATGGCAGAAGCTTTTCCGGGTTCAACAGCGCTGGAGCCCAATTTGGCAGCTGCAAAGATGCATTCACACGGGCGGAAAGAAGCTTGTTCATTCACAGTCCTATCAGAGGGATGCCCAGCCCATTGCAAAAAGCCCAAAGATGCATTCACACGTGTAGAAAAAAACTCTGTTAATTCACAGTTGTATGGGAGTGATGCCCAGCCTGTTGCAAAAGGCCCAAAGATGCATTCACACGTGTAGAAAAAAAACTCTTATTAAATCCCAATTGTATCAGAGGGATGCCCAGCCTGTCCCAAAAATCCCAAAGATGCATTCACACGTGTATATATATATATAAAAGCTCTATTAATTCACAGTTGTATCGGAGGGATGCCCAGCCCATTGCAAAAGCCTATTGCAAGGATTGTGTGTGTGTGAGTGGGTGTTTGTATTATTATCATTAGGATTGCCATTGTAACCGAAACACGTATCTAAAACCCCGAGAAATACGCTGCTTTCCCCCCCCCACACACACACACCATCCTCGTTCCCCGCCACTGCATAACCCCCCCAACCTGGAATACCTTCCAAAAAGCAAAGCGTTTGCCTTTTTAAAAAAAAATAAAAAAACCCGCCAGGCTTTTAAATATAAATAAAATAAAAATTGCTTAGCACATTGTAAGCCGCCCTGAGTCTCCGGAGAAGGGCGGCATATAAATCAAATTAAAAAAATAATAAAAATAAAAATATTTTTATACGGTCCCTTATACGGTCCATTCTGCCACCCCAGAGAGCTCAAACCCACGTGTCCCGTAACGTCTGAAGAGGCCCACGGCTCCTCCTCCCCCCACCCCTCAGCCCAATGCCCCGCCGCTTTCCCCCCCTTCATGCGGGCTTTCCCGGGGCACTGAACGGCGGGAAGGAAGAAAGGAAGGAAAAAAAAAAAAAACCTCCTTCGGCTCCTCAGGTCCAGGGTTCCTCCGAAGCCCACCACCACCACCTGCCCCCCCCACCACCCCCCCACGGGAGGACCCTCGAGCTCTCTCCGCCTTCCCGGGCGAAGCTTTTTCGCGCCCTCCCGCCGTCGGCACCAGCGGCCGCTTGGCAGGCAGACGGCATTCAATGGACACGTGTTTTCTTCGGCCCCGGCCGGCTCAAGCTTCCAGCGCTGGGAGGGGGGGGTCGCTTTTTTTTTCACCACACACTTCCCCCCCCCCCACCAACCCTCCCCGTTGGACTCACCGCGGGTCTGCCCACCGCCACGGCCATGCTTCGCGCTGGGGTCTGCTTGCGGGCGCAAAGGAGGCTCCGTCCGGCGTCTCTCTCTCTCTCCTCTCACGCTGCCTCGCCTTCCGCCGCCCTTCGCCTCCGCCCGGCACGGCCACTCCTTCTGGCTCTTCTCTCTCTCTCCCCCCCCCTTCCTCCTCCTCCTCCCCTTCCTCGGCTTTCGCCTGCGCTCGCTCGCGACTATAAGCGGGAACATGGCCACCCGGCTTGGAAGCGACCATTCGCTGTCTGGGGGGGGGGGGGAGGGGGGGAGGGAGGGGGGAGGGGGAGGAGAAGAAGAGGCGGGGGTCGCGCTAGGCCGAAGGACGCCCCCCTCTTTTTTGCCCCCCCCCTCCGTTGCTTTCTTAGCGACCGAGGAGGAGGAGGAGAAGGTGCGCCCACCCCCGCGGGGTCTCCGGCGGCAGGCGTCGCGCGCCCTGAGCGCTTCAAGCGACGCTTGTCTTCGGCCGGCTGGGGTTGCGCCGCCGCGCACCCCCCTCCCCCCCTCGCCGAGCTTGGCTTGCGCGAGTCCAAGTCCCGCTGGAAGGGGGGGAGGGAGGGAGTGGGGTGGGGGTGGGTCTCTTCTCTCATAATTAGGGAGAGGAAGGGCGCTTGGGACGTGGGGGGGGGTTTGTCTGCGAATCTGACATCCCCTCCCCCACACACACGCGCGCACACACATCTGGCGGAGGTGGCATCCCGGCTAGGCAGCGACAGGGAGGGGCGACCTTGATCCAGGTAAGGAGGGAGATAGAAAGCTGCCCGGCTCCTTTGCCAGGATACAGGTGGTCCTTGACTTATGACCGCAGTGGAGGCCAAAATGTCTGTTGGTAAACGAGACGGGGTGAGGAGGGAGCTAGAAGTAACAGTAACAGTAGAGTTGGAAGAGTTGGAGGTCATCTAGTCCAACCCCCTGCTCACACAGACCTGTGCTAAGGATTCGAGCCACCAAACTGCCGGCCTTTCACCTTTCACGCAAAGGGGGAGCTAGAAAGCAGCCCAGCTCCTTTGCCAGCATACAGGTAGTCCTTGTTGTGGCTCCGTTATCTGAGCCTGTGTCATCAGCAGGAGAGGACTCCGAGAGTGAAGGAGAGGAGTTGGCAAGGCCTCCCTCTCCAGGACCCTCCTCTCTGGCAATGCCTTCGGTGTCCGCTGAAGGGCAAGAGATAGGGCCGGGGCCAAGCACGTCCACGCAGCCACAGGTGGACTGTGATGAGGGTAATGAGTCTTGGCTGGATCCACGCCAGCGTCGCAGAGATAAGCGCACGCAACAGAAGGCGTGCCTGAGATTAGGCTGAGTCACTGGACCACACCCCACAGGATATAAAAGGGAGCGTGGTGGCCAGTCAAACCTTATGACGAACAAAGCTGAAAGCTTCCACGCTATTCTGCATTGCCAGACTTTTGGCTATAGACTTTGCTGGATTATCTCTGGACTTGATTGACTCCGTAATTATTGAGCTGTTTCTTTTGATGTATCAGAAGTGGGGAGAAGTTATCTCTCCTCTTTGTAAATAATAAACTCTTGGCAGGCAGCCACTAGGTTGTTGCCAAGTTCCGTTATCATAAGGAAAAGGATTTTGCCAGCTGGTTTGGTCTTTAACTCTTGAATGTCTGTTGGTGTGTGTGCGTGTGGTTGGGGACAAAACAGTCCTTGACTTACGACCGCAGTGGAGGCCAAAATGTCTGTCGGTAGGCGAGATGAGGCATCCCTTGATCCAGGCAAGGAGGGAGCTAGAAAGCTGCCGGCTCCTTTGCCAGGATGCAGGCAGGTAGTCCTTGACTTACGACCGCGATGGAGACCAAAATGTCTGTCGCTTAAGCGAGACCGTTGTTACGCAGACTTTGCCCCATTTTAGGACCTTTCTTGCCATAGTTATTAAATGATTTGCTAAAGTTGCTAAGTTAGTCACGGGCTGGGTAAGTGAAATCTGGCTTCCCCATTGAAGGTCGCAAAAGGGGATCACATGACACACACACACACACACACACACACACACACACACGGGACATGGCAACCTGTCGTAAATATGAGTCAGTGGCCGGGTGTTTGAATTTTGGACACATGACCATGGGGATGCTGCGAGTGTCATAAGTGTGAAAAACGGTCATAAGTCACCTTTTTCAGTGACGTTGTAAGTTAGAACAGTCACTAAATGAAGTATAGTAAGTTGAGGACTACTTGTACAGAATAACAAGAGTTGGAAGGGACCCGAGAGGGCTTCTAGTCCAACCCCTTTGCTCTAACCCTAACTCTAACCCTATACCATTCCATACCCTAACCCTAACCCTATACCAGGGGTCTGCAACTTTAAACACTCAAAGAGCCATTTGGACCGGTTTCCCAGAGAAAAGAAAACACCGGGAGCCACAAAACCCTTCCGGTGCCTGACTATTTCTTGAGCGGCCACAAAACTAGCATATGTAGTTGAATTAAACGTTCTGTTTTCTTCTGAAACTTTTCTTTTCTTGGATTTATCCATGGTTGGCCTACTGGGGGTGGGGGTGAGGGTTTGAAAAGCTTAATAAATCATGTGCCGGTGGGTGTCACACATTGGCGGTTGTGACGCCTATTTTGAGCAACGGAGCCACAGCAGAGAGGTGAAAGAGCCACAGGTTGCTGACCCCTGCTCTACTCCAACCCCCTGATCAAGCAGGAGACCGTATACCAGGGGGGGCTTTTGTGAAAATAAGGAAAAAAGTAGGCTTACATTTCAAAAATATTAATTTGGCTTTTTAAAAATAAACAATTTTTTAAAAAAAAAATCCAGAGGAACCGTATCCTCCTTGGACTGGTTGTCCTTGATTTATGACCACAATTGAGCCCAAAATTTCAGTCGCTAAGCAAGACAGTTGTTAAGTGAATTTTGCCCCGTTTTGAGACCTTTCTTGCCACCGTTGTTAAGTGAATTGCTGCAGTTGTTCAGTTGTTAATCTGTCTGGGGGATTCTGGGATTTGAAGTCCACAAATTTTAAGGTTGCTAAGGCACCCCTGCCTTAGATTATATGGGAGATGGCATTGGCATTTGGAGCTAGATCAAACCACTTTGCAGTTATCATCATCTAACGACCCCATAATCCCTTGGCGGGGTAGAGTCTGGGCAACTGAATGGAGCTAGCAGAATGTTTTAATGGCCGGATGCCCTTCCTGTTGCCAATGTGGAGTTTTGTTCAGCAGATATATTCTCAGTGTGCTCAGAGAGAAATATTTGCCTCTACCTAGGATCAAACTCACAGCCTCCTGATTGTGAGGTGAGAGCTCCACCTCTAGGCCACTGGACCACTCCAAACAGCCTTGCAGTTACGATACCCCAAAAAAGACATTGCTTTATGCTCAGGTTTCTCCACTTCACTTAAACAGAAGTCTTTCTCCCTATACCTTGGATTAGCATTTAGTAGACCATGATGTCTTTAGAAAAGATATATTACTGTCATGATGTAATCTATACAGGTGGTCCTTGACTTACAACCATAACTGAACCCAGAATTCCAGTTGTTTACGTAGGTCACAATTGAAACAGTAAGTATTGCCCCATTTTATGATATTTCTTGCCACCGTCGTTAAATGAATCGCCACAATTGTTAAGCTAGTAAGACGGCGGTTAAGTGAATCTGGCTTCCCCATTGACTTTGCTTGTCAGAAGGTTGCAAAAGGGGGAATCGCATGATCCCGGGACGCTCTCAACAGTCATAAATATGAGTCAGTTGCCAAGCGTTTGAATTTTGCTCATGTGATAATGGGGATGGTCATTAAGTGTGAAAAACGGTCATAAGTCACATTTTTCGGTGCCGTTGTAACTTTGAACGGTTACTAAACCAATGATTGTAAGTCAAGGTTTACCTGTATTTAACCAGATTTCAGGTGAAGCTTGCAGACTTAAATGCCAAGGAATAAATAAATAAATGTGCCGAATAAATGACAGAAACCGCTCCAAACGCAGAGCTTTTTTTTTTTTGCGTTCATTTTCCCATCGATATAAAATGGGAACTATGATCATTTGTATGAGAATGATGTTACGTTTATGAAATGTAGCTCTCTAGGCAATTCTCCGAAGCTGAAACAAGATAATTTTAAACAAACTTTTTCTCTCTTGGGAATAAAAAAGGGATCGGGGAAAAAGAAACATTCCATCAATTTTCCAGTTTGATTAAATCCGTGATGGCAAACCTATGGCACGCGTGCCAGAAGTGGCACGCAGTGCCCTCTCTGAATGCACATGAGCCGTTGCGCCAGCTCAGCACTATTGCACATGCCTCCCACCAGCCAGCTGATTTTTGGGTCTCTGCTGCGTATGTGCGGGGCGCATGTGGGAGACACGCATACATGTGCGGGGTAGGGAAGTCACGCATGTGCGGGGGTCACATACATGTATGGGGCAGAAGGAGCATGGTCGTGTACTCGTGCGGGGGGAGCACACATGCACAGGGGTTGCGTGGGGCGGGATCATGCGCACATCACATTATGGGTTTTCGGCACGTGACGACAACAAGGTTGTTAGGAAATGATTTTACCTAACTTATTGGGTTTGCAATATATAAACCATCAATATTGCTTTAAGACTGCTGTATTGCATCATACTGTGTCCTGATTGGTTAGCTCTGTAGCCAATGTCCTTAAGAGGGAGCTAGAAACCTGGTTTGTTTCTCTTTGCTGCCCTTTGCTACTCTTTACTGTTGCTTTGCTGTGTTTGCTACTGTTTGCTAATATAGAAGAACTGTTATTGTGTATGACTACAACGACTGGTAAGAAGACTTTGTTATTGGACTATCCTTCGACACTTGTTTGATATCTACTGCTTTATCTGTGTATGACCTGGACTGTTTAATGGACTGTGCCTTATTACTATTTCCTGAAAGTAAACACAACTCAGTGTATCTGTGTGTTGGCTGTGTTATTTCCTAACTACTCTCAATCACTTTTCATGTGCACACCCTTGCTACTCAAGGGTTGCTCTGCGAATTCCTTAACGAAGGTTAGCCATCATTGGATTAAATGGAAGAACTGGAGGCTAGTATCTGGAATGTCACCAATTCTTGAATCTCTTGCTATTTTTCTTTTTTTTTAAATAAAATAAAATAAAATAAAAATAAATGTGATGAATCCACCCTGTATTTATCATGAATACTAGGCTTCCTAGTTTA